AAAAATCTTGGGGACCAACCAGAATATAGGAACTATCAAGTTTTTTTTTTTTTTTTAATTAAAAGGGAATTTAAAAACCTAGGGGACCACGGAGAATATAGAAATTATCAATTTCCATTTTTTTTTCTAATAGATTTTTTTATTGATTGTACATAGAGTGTGAATGAGATCTCTGAACACTATTATAAATGTCCTTTGAGACAGAATGTAATGCTATCAATAAAAAAAAAAATCGAAATTTTTTTATTGAGATTATTACAATCTGTCACATCTAAAGGCAATAGTAATAGTTATAAAAGAGCTCATTCACATTATGTGCAATAAATACAAATAAATAAACAGTAAAATAATAATACTAAAAGTAAATGTATATAAATGAATGTTTAATAGTTGAATAATTGAATAACAATAGTTTATATTTTATATGTATATGTATATATATTTATAATTTAATATTTCATAGATATAGTATTTTTTCCCTTCTATCCATCCACATTTTCAAATTTAGATACAGTAATTTTCTAATTTTTTCCCCATTACCCAAACAAGTGAGCAAATTCCCCAATACCTGCCCTTACCCTGTTTTTCCAGTTGTAAGTGAAACTGCTAGCTGAACACACCTGTAAGTTTCTATTTTTATTTTTCTATTTTTATTTATTTATTTATTTTTTTCTTTCCCCACATTCCTTTTGTGTCTATTATTTCAAATCATATCCTTTTTCTTTTTCTTTCAATCTCTACTGTAGATCTTTAAATTATTCATATTTGCATGTATTATGTAATATGTAATTTACTTATTTTTCACACCTGAAATGGAAGATAATACTCGAAATGAAGACTCATTTATTGGGTTCATAAAAACAATCATGAATCCATTAATCTAAACAATATACAAACGTGTCTGCTCTATTAAAGGAATTATGTACAGATTCTAACATCCTTAGCAAAATGTTGGTGGCTTCATAGATTTTTTAGCACGATAATAAGTTTTACTTGTTATTTTACTATAATACATTTTTTTGAGAGTATGTTTACCATAACCCAAGATTGAATGTGCAGTACACTTCAGAATCCCAAGGCGTTTTTAAATAAAAGGGACGTGCTGTTATTAAATAAAAAAAACATCATAAATATTATTTAAAAAATCTAACAATAACAACAACGTATATTATTATAAACTGTTTACAGTTGAAATTTCCAATCTTCGAAAATCCAATTTTTACACTGTAAACAAATTAAGAGCTTTACATTATAACTATTAAATAATTCATGACGTAGCCCTAACTCCCTCCTCGTTCATTAAAGTGCTTTAACAAGTTATTATCTGCCTTCCTCGTATGGCGGAAATATATTATTGAGAATAATTTGTGGTTTGCAGTTGACAATCGCATTTGTCATCTGTCTACTTTAGGTTGCAAATATGTGGATATGTTCTGTTAAACATAACCACTTTTTTCATAAATTATCAAGATAAATATAAATAATGATCCAGATTTTAAAGCCGATACTCGGTCTTTATTTACAATTAACATAATACCCTGTTTTAAAATAAAAATAACAGTAACACCAATATTCTGAAACGTGTTTTACTCAATTATCCTAATAGACAAAGTTCGTAGGACTTAAAATGTGCTGGCTTCATAAAAACTAATTAAAATATTTATATATATATTTATAGATGAGAATTTTTTTTTCCTCTCAAAATTCAATTATCATTGAAATGCGGCAAGGTTTAAACGAAATAAGTTTAGTGCCTTTTTATAGAATTCATATAATTTAATGTTAAATCAAATTCACAGAATCTGATTGGACAATAAATTTTGCAGATAAGCCGGGTGTAGTAGAAATACGATCATAAAATATAAAAGAGTTTCTTATCACTGTGATATCGCCTACTCAATAACCTTTATATTGTCCCTTGAACTTAAAAGAACAATCAATAATCAATTTTCTAATGCAATTTATACTTTATTACCATATGCAACGGTCGATAAGAAATACTGAATCAATAAAAAAAGAATAATAGAACGTAGCGATTTTTAAAGAAAACAGTTATGTGCCTATATTGTTATTTTTTATTTCGGGAAGATTATTTCGGTTGCTAAAAGAATTTTTTAAAAATTCAATCCACTAATTTGCACATTGAAGTTAATATTGTAACATTTAATATAAAATATTATCTTGCTTAAGAACAAAATAATTGACAATTTCATAATAAAAGAGAAAATCGAGGTGTACGGATTATTTGTAAAGTTAGTTGACCAATTTTACCCTAAATCCGAAGAAATACGTATAACAGATTTCACTTGACATTATTTCATGGTATTTTTTTCATCTCATTAATTTAACTGACTCTGATGAATTACTCTCATACATTATCTGATGCACGTGTGACGTATCTTGTATATAATTAATTATTAATTCCTTTCAGTATAATTTAAGTAATTGAACGTTAAATATATTTAACAGCATGCATTCTTTTTTTCTTAAAATATAAAAAAAAACAATAAAAATTCTTTATTATAATAAAAAAACTTTATTTAGTTATATCACACATCTATGCATGTAACACCTACATCTTTTTGGCCATTTTTAAACATATCTTTATAAACTGTTAACCTCCTATAATATATATATATAGTCTTATTTTGTAAATATACCTCATTTTTTTAATAACAAAACAGGTGAATGTAATTTTGATATCGCTCCAACATTTTACTCACCTAATTCGCTATCATGTTACAAATGAGTAAAAAAATAACAAACCAAAAAATATAATAAATAAATTAAAATCAAAAGTTATCATATCATACATTGATGAAGTAGAGCAAAAATAACAAATTAATTTGATTGTGTCACTGTGATGTAAACTAAAGGAGGTACTCACGTCTTGTTTGTAAGGAAAAAATAATGAAATTTTAAAATAATATTATACATATATTATCTCTGTATTTTCCGCAGACTTAACGATAAATTAATATAAACAATACATGAATTGTAAATGAACAAAGGTTTCAGAGAAAGTGCAGTAAATAGAAATTTAAGGAAAACTGCGTCAACTAGAGCAACAAGTGAAACCCAAACAATTACCTGCCTCAGTTTATTTGTTTGTTTAAAAATATCTCACGACTGATAAAGCGGTCTGACAGAACCCTGTCACATTTATTTCAATGAATCTGAATATTTCTTTCAACGCCATCATATTCGCAGTCCTGGAATTTTGTGATGACATCGTGTAAAAAATATTTTTTTTACAATTATTACGAATTTTCAGTGACCTTTTCTTTAATTGGAACAGGAAAAACAGCAAAACAATTAGAACAGCAACCATTCTCATAAATTTTATAAAAAAATATATATTTTAAATTTAAACATCAATTTAATCACATATCAAATTGTTAACTATGCACAGTTATGGCAACGAGATAGTTGTTGGGAAAGTTATTTCGAATTATATATAATTGAAAGAAATTACCAGAATAAATTGTCCTGGAAGATCAATCAGAAATCCGAAACTCCAGACTGTGATGTAAATAAATATTTACATATGGAAGAGGTTCCTTCAATCATAAAAAAACTACTGCCGAGTATTGGCGGATTGAAGGGTGAGGGGAGAATTTTTGGACTGAAGTTCCAAAAAAAAAATATTTCGTTTTTTTCATTAGTCTATATTAGTTCCTATGAATGATCTGAGCCAAGCATTCCCTTATCTTCCCTTTTTAAATGTTAACGCATTCAAAAGCTGCTAAATTTTATTTCTAGAAGTAGTAATTCCTTCAATTAACGATAAAAAAAAGAAAATATTTTTCAGTCTTTCCTTTAAAGTTCACTGTAAGCGTTTACGAAGGCAATAATGAAAAAGTTAAATCTTTAAGATTTGATATTTCCAATATGGAATTTGACGACTTTTGTATATGAAAATAACAAGAGAAACTTTTATTGTATATCGCATCATAATGCATTATTGGTTTCATTCTTATAGGATCCGACAAGAATGAAATGCTACAACTTAAACTGTTATATTACATTATAAATGAAAAAAAAAAAAAAAAAAAAAAAGAAACCAAGGAGTGTGTAAAAAAAAAAACTGGGGAGTGTGCTTTAGAACAAACGATAATATGAAAAATAAATTCTAAAGAATAGTCCATAACTAGTGTTGCCCAAAATCGGTCTTGGTGTTGCACTTTGCAAGATCAAGACCAAGGCCGCCTGTTACAAGACTAAGAACACGGCCGCCTAACTGCTACAAGACCAAGACCAGGACTGGTAAAAAAAAAATCGATTTTTTAAATAAAAATTATGGCAAAATAGTTACTAACACTTGACAATCTTAGTTATAATATGTTAAAAATTGGTATAACCGATTTACTTTTGCATTCAACTCCTCTAATTTTTCATTCGGGCTTAGTTAGGTATCTCCTATGTAAAAAATTAAAGTACTATCTCTATTGTAATAAGCTAAAAAGTAACTGCAAGAGTGTTGTGAGACTCTTGTGCAAGACCAAGACCATGACCAAGAGTTTGCACGACCAAGACTCGTCTCGGTCTCGCATTTGGGCAACACTATCCATAACAAAGAGGATGAAATGCTAAAAAAGTCCTTCGCTTACAGTATACAGGTACGATTTTTGGTTTCTGAGATATTTTAATCCATATCTTCAATAAAAACTCGTTATAATTTGGTTTGCGACATAATTTGGTTTCCCTTTCCGCCTCTCTAAGTCGGGTTAAGAAACAATTTTGAACAATAGGCCATAACAGAGAGGATGGAATGCTGAACGATTCCCTCGCCTATAGTATGCAGGTCCGACTTTTAGTTTCTGAGAGATATTTTAATTCATATGCATCCGACTTTATCCGAGCGTTACACATCGGAGGTCTAATTCACTCTATACAAAAGAAGTTTTTACTTAAAAAACAATGTACTGTTAAAAAAATATTTAAGAAGTTTAATGCAATCAAAACAATTTTTTGATATGAGTAATCTGGAATGAAATCTTCTACGAACGTAGTTCTTGGTACGGATGCCGTTTGCCAAGGATCAGTGTTCCCCTCTGGAGTATGGCTATAATGGTAGAAATCGGCGCAACCTCCAGACTCCGGAAGATCCGTAAGGGGCAAGAACCTGCGGAGGTTCTCAGATCAGCTAGCCATCGCCCCGCTTCCCAACCGGTTCTCCACTCCAACTCTCCCGCTCCCTTTCTAGACGAGATTATCTCCTCAGTGAAAAATTACGCCATTTAACACGAGAGCACTTTAATTCGTATTTCTAGATTGAGTTGTTAATCAAAGGTGAACAGATTAAGTATTCTTTCTTTATAAGGAAAGAACATGTTAGGTTGGGCCTATGGTGCTACTTTATCTTGTAAAAGAACAATTTTACCAAACATCTCATAGGAATAGATAAAATTTTAAAGGAAATTAATGAGTTTTAGTTTTTTAAATTTCTTTATAATGTATTTCATAAGATATGAGAGAATAAATAATCCAATATTAAATCTTTGAGGCCATAATTCAAGAGAAAATGGCAATGATAATACTGTGGGATAAAACATCCTGAAAAGTCGTAATGATATTAAGACTATAGGCGACAAATGTGTCTTGTTAATTGAATTAATCGGATGAGGTTTTGAGAACAGCAGGTAGTTCGATGATTAAAAATGGGACCTATTTTACTGCACAAGGTTCATTTTAAGAGAGGGATGGGAAACTGGGAGTAATCTTTTATTTTCATTGTAGTTATAGTGTAAGTCTTAGTATAGTGACAGAGCTCACTAGAGTCCAGTGAATGTCAATTCATTTTCTCAGTCTTGTAAAAGGTTTTTAATGTAAGGCTACCATCTCATAGGTTTGTGAGTAAGTGGAGTAAGTGTTTTAAAAATTGGGTTTGTCTCGACAAATTCTTTGATAGCCTTAAATACTCGTATTTAAGGCTATCAAAGAATTTGATGTGGCAGCGTGTAATAAAGTCGTCCACCTTCGGGAATTCGAGAGTGGTATGTAGTAGGTCAGTAGGTGTTTTTGTAAAGCCGTATGTGAATTAGTACTTTTAATTATATTAGTTGGCTTTTAAGTCCGTGTTTATTTATCAAGTCCCGCGGGAATAAACGCAGTAGGCACAGCTTTTCTATCCAATCCGATGGAATTTCGTTCCGAAAAATACAAACTCCGCAGTTTTATTTCGTCAATGGAGTTTGAGAGAAAAAAATAAATACACTTCCCTGAAGTATTAATAAAATTTTGAAGTGGTTTAACTTGGTTCGTTTAATAAATTCCTTCAAATGCAGTCCCATACCGAAAATTATTCTTGCAGCTGAATTTAAAATAATAAATATAAATAGGTATTTTAAATAACATTTATACACGGTTAGAGTAAATAATATGTTTTGATTTTTGTAGGGTAGATTCTTTAAATAGGAACCGGGAAATAATTCTGACATCAACTTCAAAGCTTACAACATTTCGGTTTCAATCAAATAACTCATTTAATAAAAAATTTACATTACTTATTGAATAAGTATTATCTCATTAATGTTTAACATAACTCGTAATTAGCATAACTTTTTTTTTTTAGTTGGCTTTCCTGGACCACGAGGTAATTAACGCCACAGTTACAAGTCCCTTGGCACTATGATACGAATTCATAATTATTTTGTCAAATTATATTTCATCAGGTTTTTAGGAAACACGGTGCTGTTCAACGAAATAAAACTCATTCAATGAACTACATACATTTTTTTTTGGTCCTCCCCTTCCTCGCCGTTAAAGACTATCCGGGGTTTTCCGGCCAAGGGATGTGGGCGGAAATATAAAATATAAATTTAAGAAACTCTGAATTATGAAGATATTTTAGGGAAAAAACTTAAAACTTCATATACATTAGTTTTTCAAATTATTTCATAAATAAAATAAGTTTTTTAATCTATTTGAGTCTTTTCATTGATTTCTAGATTAATTGAATTTAATACTACACAGGAGCATAAGAAGAAGAAATAAATATCATTTGATTGATAATAAAAATTCTAATTTGTTTAGACTAGACACTAAAATATTTATATAAAATATAATCTTGGCTCTATTCTACTTTAAGCACATCAGTGACGCTATTTTTTTCCCTTTTCGTCTCTCTAAAACGGCATCACATTAGGATACAATTTTAAACAATAGCTCATTACAAAGAGGATGAAACGTTGAACATTTCCCTCGCTTACAGTATGCAGGTCCGATTTTTAATTTCTGAAATATTTTAATTAATATCTTCAATAAAACTCGTTATCAGTCTGTTTTCGACACTATTTTCCCATCCGCCTCTCTAACATGGTGTCGCGTTAAGATTAGATTTTTTAATAATAGCTCACTACAAAGAGGATGGTATGTTGAACATGTCCCTTGCTTACAGTATGAAGGTCCGCTTATTAGGCCATATCTTCAATAAAACTAGTAATTAGTTGGTTTTCGACACTAATTTTCCATTTCCACTCCTCTAACACGGCGTCGAGTTAAGATACAATTTCGAATAATAATTCATTGTAAAGAGGATGGAATGTTGACCATTTACGTCGCTTAGAATATAAAGGTCCGATTTCTAGATTCTGAGATATTTTAATTCATATCTATATAATCTTCAACCAAACTCGTTCGCCTTTTCTCTTTCTGCGTCGGTAACACGGCGTCACGTAAAGATACAATTTTGAGTAATAGCTCATTACAAAGAAGATAAAATCCTGAAAATTTCCTTTTGCCACAGTATACAGGTCCGATTTTTAGTTTCTTAGATATTTTAAACCAAATGCAAAAACAATTCACTGGGGTGCTTAAAGTACACAAGATCCATAGTTTTTATAGAATAATTTATTCTTTATTTTTATGTACATTATGCAACCAATATTAACAACCAAAAATCTATGAAATTACAATGATGTAAATAATTTATACTATCTATATGACTTGGAAACACAAATGCATGTAATGTTTAACAATTATAGGTGAGAAACATTATAATAATACAAATGTTTGTTTTCTGTTAGTAGTGTAGTTCACAACAACACAAATAGTCCTTCTTTAAATTTCATTATAACCTGTGTTTTCATAACGACTAGTACCTACATGAAAATACGAAACGAGGGCAGAGGTGGTTTTTCCGGCTTATATCCAATTCTCTAAACATTTCTGGATGTTACCATAACAGGGACGAGGGAACCATAACTGTTTCAGGGAAACAGGAGACATAAAATATGGTTTAAAATAATAGCAAGGTTCCTCCATAAACATGGGTTAGATACGACAAACAGTTCCCCTGTTGTGAGCGACCTTCCATCCCATTTCCATTTTTCCCTTTCCAAATTAGTATTCCCAGTAGGGGAATATATTTTTATGTATTCCTTACCTTCTTTCGAGGAATATTATATAAACTAAAGAACTCAGTTGGGACAAAATAAAGAATAATTTAGACAGGGTAAGCGGGCAATATTGATTTCATATTATTCATTCGAAACAAAATTAATTTAACGTTGAGACAAGTAAATAAGCATAATGTGAATTTCCAGGTCATATAAATTAGTTTAAAATTACGAAAATATGGATTGAAAATCTAATTTCAAGTAGCACTTCGAAGTCTGCTCATATTACTGAAATAAACAAATAACAGTTTCGATTATTACCATTAGTGGATCCCAGATTTAATTTATGATTTTGAAGGGCTTTTATTTATCTATTAATGTTTTTAATATGAAATGATCCTCATTTATGTTTTTCATTACACGTATGTATTTTGTATTATTACTTTTTTTTTTTTCAACAACGATAACAAGGTAAATAAATTCTTATTTTCAATTATTTAACAAATGCATCTACCCATACCGGGTCATTAGCATACAACATTGTTTTTGATACAATTTGGATTTTTTTTTTTTTTTTTTTACAGAGATTATTACATTGTTAATGGCATTTTAATATGTTACATACTTTATGAGAAGTAATACACTGATATTGATGTTAATAATTCTGTTTAAAAGATAAAGTTTGTTGATTTGTATAAATAAGGTTATAGTATTTAGAAGGTTTTAAATAATTAATGTATATTTTTTCATTGATATTTTTATTAAACGTGTTTATTTTGTATATCAAATATTTGGAATTTTAATTAAAACTGATAATAGGGAAGTCTGTTTTTTTTTAAATCAATAATTCGCAATTCCCCCTCTTCCGCATATATTTATATTTCATAATATATCTTTGTTGACATTACGAATTGTACTGTAATTATACGTAACAAGCTATCTAGCAATCATCACTCCAAGTTTGGTACTTCAAAGTCAGAACTCTTCAACTAAATTCAAACATCTAATGAGACAACTGCTAAAAGGAAATTGTACTTACGAATTTATAACTCAATTACTTATTAGTGCACCTCTATGGTTAATGCCTTTGTTAGTATGATGTTAAAACAATCTCGGTAGGCTCCCACCGAAGATACTATAGCTAATTTCGAGGGTTGACCCCCATATAAATAATTCAGCTCAAGTAGAGACTCCTCCAACCTCAAGGAACTTCCTACTTACTGTTTCAGCGACACAGGCCTGCTGCGGAGTGAATACGGAATTCGATGCCGTTAGGTCGCGAACCCTGGGATGGTCTTCGCATATTGTTCCCAATATTTACAACTTTTTTTAGCTTCAGTGTGTAGGGCATCGCTATTCGTAAAAAAGTTAAATATAACCCAGAAGAAGAGGTCACATTCAATGGGTACCTTTTGTTAACAGCACATCGAATTACAAAAAAAGAATAAAATATATATATATATATATATATATAAATTCCCGTAAAGTATGCCGAATAAACTTTCGTTATGAAAAAGTATCAGATGAAAAAATCATCAGAAATATGTTCATTATTTTTTTTTAGTGCTGACCATCTTTGGCATATGTTGGTAATTTTTTTAAAATTCAATATTGTTGTGGTTCCTTAAAAACAGAAATTAAAATGAGTCGAATTATTTCAAACCATATGAATGTTCCAACCATGCCATATACGAATTTTATTCAGAGAAAAATATCATTTTCCTTTGTTCGTTTGTTTTTACAAAGATGACATGCCATAATACGATCCGTTTATGCTGGAAGGTTGACTTTCATGTAAAATAAGGCTGTGTTTTATTATTACTTCACCACATCGGCTAGGTTTTGGCTAGTAAGCCATTTACAAGCCATCTGTAAGATAAACACTATTAGTTTTATATACCGATGCAATTTTACATTCTATGTTGGTGGTATAAGTCATTGTTTTTTAAAAATTTATTTACATATTTAGAAATATAATAATATGTCACGTGGACAATAATTATAGTAATATATGAACACATTCACACCATATTTACAGTCATATTTAATTTAATATTTTATGAATTATAACCCTAATTGAGGTAAGTCAATTTATTAATTTGTACCACAAGATATCATGAGATAGAATTGCTTTTTATTTAAAATCAGATATGCCAAGGTAAGATAATAGATAAATTCTTTTTACATATAAAGATAAAGACATAAATTATTTTAAATTTTAAACATCCTTACTTTATTTATTCATGCCTGTTACACGTAGTCCATAATCAGATTAAAGTCAAGTATAAGTGTGGTTGCACATTGTTATATTTCGGTTTATATCGTTCACTCATTAAGAGTTATTATTAAAACATTTGAGTATTTAAAATTTGAATTTTGTAATTTTACTTGCATATGTGCGGTTTAGTTTAGGAGAAATAGAATAAAAATGAATAATTTTCATGTACCATCTTCTGCACTGACAGTAGCAATATGAATTTTCACAGTTATCTAAAAATACAAAATATAGTTACTGATTTTCTTGTAGGTTTTTTTTTTTTCCGGCTGTCAACTAAATTTATAATTCCTCAGCATTTATAATTGTCTTAAAATTTAACCGATTAAAAGCAGAATTACTGTTCTTCCAAATCATATCAATAATCTCTAAATTTCTTTCTAAGTTAGAAACAAAGCAAAATATCTTAATCTTTTTTCTTTCATACTATTCGGAATCAGCGGAATTTCGTATAATCTGTATGGCTCAAAATCCCTACAAAATTCCATGTGGATCTGCTTAGACCACTTGAAGTCAAGTTGTGATGTTCCAAAGAAAATCGGAAGAGTCTGACAAAGGCGAAAGGTTTTTGTAATAAATTTTCATTGATAGATTGCTATGAAAAAGATCTGAGCTACGAAAAAAAAATATCAACTTGGTTTTCCTTAAACAAATATTTGACTCGCCCCTTTGTTATATTTCTTAGTACAATTTGTTTTAACATAGTACTCTTCCTAGCTATAGTTACATAGGATTAGCCGACGAAGTTATGTGGTCGTAAAAATTTTTTTAAGAGGAACCATAGTTGATATTCGTTTTTCCCACCTACTTAACAGAGAATAAAATCATAATACGACATAATCATTACTGAATTATTTGAAAAGGGTATTTCACTATATAGTCTGTACCTGACATACGTCTAACAGTAATAAAGACAAAATCTTGTAAAATTAATAATCCACATAACACCTAAATTATTTACTAGGTTTAAAAATAATTTAGGATTTGCAAAGATGAGAAAAACAACTCAGTCACGAGTCCTTGAATGAAGCAAAACGTTAAAAATAGCAACTAAATTTGGTTTTGAAAAAGGTAGTTACGGAAAACAATAAAACGAAAATTAGTAAGAGTTTTATGAAGTTTACACTTTTGAAAAATCCTTACTCATATTAGTCTCATGCTCCAAATAATAATAATAAGATTAAATATTTCGTTTCTAATAATTGTTCTATTTTTTCAGGGTAATTTCTTCAAGAAGAATATTACCCTTATCAGTTTAAAAGTTCATGAAACGACATTTCGAGCCGATAGCTCATTTTCCAGTAATCTTTATTGCCTACTTTTCACCTTTTACTAATGGATTTATAGCTTAAACTGGACTGTTTTGGTAAGACTACTTTTAATGTTTTATGCTAAATAGGTATTTTTTAACATAAATTGGATGTGTTCATTTGTTTTTTCTAACTTTATTTCTTTATCCGCACTTGTCATAAGTGGAAATGACGATTAGCGAATACGATGGATAAGATGATAGTTATGGCATGACACGAGAAATGATATGTTTCAGCAACATCTCATTTCTGTCTTGCTTCAGTTCCTTAAATCATCTCCCATCCGGCATCTTTTTAGTCGCCTTCTAATAGGAATGTCAGCTGCAGCGATATCACTTATCAGCTGCAAGATCCATAAAGTTATTTATAAAACGGGAATAAAAAAGAACGTATTGGTTAGTAGATAGTTAGTTGCCGCAATTTGGTATGTGGAGTTTCGTCATTTTCGAACCAAGGATCGTTTAATATTATAAATAATATTAATTTTTGTATAGTAAGTAATAATAGCAATTTTTGTAAGAGCCTTTTTTCGTGAACAATAAATCTGTGAAACGTATGTCCAAATGGGTTCAAGTAAGTAAGTACGTGCTCATGCATTTTTATATGATTCAGCTAGCAATCATATTGAGTAAAAAAAAAAAAAAATAAATAAATGTATAATAGTGGAAAAATAGTTGACTGTAGACAGTATGATTGGAAAATTAATTAGGGATTATGATCTCACAGAAACACAAATAAAAATAAAATTGTGGCAACATTTCGGCTTTCATTTTAGGCCTTCATCAGGGCTGAAGGAAAATAAAAAATAATATATACATATATGTATACAAGAAACTAATATAAAAAGACAGGGAAAAAATATTTTAGGTAAATGTACCGGTATTACACACTTTAAAAAAAAATTAATGTGAACCACATTAACCAATTTATAACACAGTTTTATTTTAGACGGTGGTTCTATGTGAATGGGTTTAACTGTAAAAAAATTTGGTTCTTTATCGTAGTTTTATATATACATATACAGTCAATTACATAATTATTCATGAAAATTTAAGGAGTTCTTAAAGCGTATTTTGCACCATTAATATAAACTCAGGTTTTCGGAGTAAATAGTATTTGTATAGAATTGAGAAAACCAAACCAACAACACACAAACCACAGACGAACGAATAAAAATGTACATCTTATCTCACAAATAAGAGTAATAAGGAAACCTCCTTGAAACAAACTACAACCTTATTTTATTAAAAATCAACTGATAATCTGGTATTGTGACATGATATCACTTAAGGTCCAGGCATCACTCTATTAAGAGTTTTAAATACAAAATCTACTTATATTTCCAGCTTATTAGCAGTCAATGACTTGAAAACTGCTCATTACTGGTACAAAAAATGTTGTCGACTTAGAAATAAATTTTAAAAAAATAAATAAAATCCTGAACAACGTAATTTTTTATGAGAAGATAGTACGTAGTACGTGGTACAGACCCCTTTTTGTCAATTATTAACATCTGGCTGAAACTTCAGACAGGAGGTCGGCAAACTATGTCTATTCAATTAGGTACTGAAAAACTTGTAAATACCCAGTTGCTTTCCGTTTGAATCGTAAGATAATTTGATGAAAAAATCGATAAAAAAAAAGGTGGCCCACAAAAATATTGTGCAGTTTGGCCTACGTAAACTCGTTATTTTGACAATTGGAATGACGCCAAACGGCTAAATATTTTTGAAGGCCACATTTTTTATCGACTTTGTTCTCAAGGCATCTTACGATTCAAGTGGAAAGCAAATGGGTATTTAAGAGTATTTAGTACCTAATTAAATAAAAAAAAGTTTGCCGACTTTCAGATTGAAAACATCCCAATTCCGATTATTTTAGAAAATAAAATATTTGTATTTTAAGATGAGATGAAGCTATTTACAAAGTTTCAGCCGGATGTTAATAATTTGATAAATAGGGGTCTGTACCATGGATTAATAAATCTTGTTTTATTATTATAATTTTTTTTTTAAGACCGGTTTCTAATAATCTTTGTTACGTTGTTATCTTAGAATTCGTTGAGGTTTTTTTTTTTTTTTTTTAATTTTTATTTGCATTTCTCTCTGTGACTGAAACCCCAAATAAATTCTCAACAAAGAAACAAATGCCTTTCTTAATATCTTTATAATGGAACATGAGTTGAATAATTAGTAAGGTTCAAATTTTAAATAGAGCGTATAAATGCTTTTTATTCGAATAATCCAAAAACTAAAACTTTCCATCTCTAGTCGGAAATACATTTACATATTAAATTTTATTTAACCGGAGACGAAAAATTAATAACCTACATAATACGTCTACTACTCAATAGCTCATACCTGCTACGAGGCGATTTATTCATAATAATTCTCTTCCCCCCCATCTCTCCCTCCTACCTATACCTAAGAAGGAAAGTATTCCTGGCATGCTTAATTTAACAACGAAAGGGTATATACAGCCCTCGTATCCAGTTTGCATTCCGAAGAAAATTTACCCCCTACAGACCCCACAACGTCAGGAATTCGGAAAATTAATTACTATAAAAGTGCTGGGGAGCCTTGAGTCGGCTGGGGGCACCACCACTAGGTATTCCAGCGGTGCACTACTTAAACACCATCCTCCTTCGTTAACAATATTTCATTTAAAATTTATCGTTTTTTAAAATTTTTATTATGTTATAATTTCAAATTTAAGAAA